GGTTTGTTGTAGTTATTTTAGTTTTTGGAATTATTCATTTTTTTTTTTTTTTTGTTATAACTTTTATACCCACCACACAAAGGAGATTCATTTTATTATTTCCTTTATTCGAGGACTAACAATCGCACAGATATATAGGATTCCGAGTTAATTTTAACATGTATTTATGTGAATATGTATGCCCGTCTGTCTGTATATTCTTCTATTATCACATTGCTGTATAATTTCAAAAGTTAACGGAATGCCACGGATCGCAAGTTGAAAAATAAGCAAACAAGATGTATAAAGTCGATGATAACGATTCAAAATTTGAAATTTACGAAAAAATAAATACTATGAATTTTTTTGTATTATCTTTAAGTAGTGGGTATTCAAGATCAAGGAGATTCGTCATAAGGCGAATATTGTTTCTTAACTATTTTTTCCATTCCTGGTGTTATTGTTAATGTAAATGCTTTTTTCTTTTTTAATTTATTTGTATGCGTTTCATGATAATTGCTAACAGAATATCCTTAACACACATAGGCATGTATATAATGACTGTTGAATTTGTATTGTGGCTTGTTATTGTTACGTTGATTGTTATATTTCTTTGTTTGTTTCGACTTGCGAATTTAATAAATACTTTTAAGCGATAATTTCTTTTACACTTTTAATAACTATAATTACTTACAAGTTTTCATTAAAAGTTTTTTAACTATCGTTTTTGCTTTTTCTTTTTTTCTCGACCTTAAATTAGTTACAAACTATCTAACATAAGGTTGCCTAATTTTTCATGTAATACCAAATGCACCTAACACTAGCAGTAGTTATGGTAGCACAAAATGTCATGTAAAAATTTCAATTTTCTTAATGGCTCTGACAACCACGATCTAATCCTCTTTATTTGTTTTCTTCTTTTCAAATTTAGTTTCAATGTTCGTTTTTCATACTATTCAACGTTTGTTTTAGATACAATTTACTTTAATTTATGTTACTTCGTTTATTTAAAATTTTTTTAAATAGTTTTAAAATTTAATTTTACATTGTAAGACTGCTTCGTTTAATTTAATCATCAGATATGCTTATCGGATGTTTAGAAACTATTTATATATTCCTGATTGACGGTTGATTTAAAGTTAACTAAAGACAGATGGACAATATATATGAAATTTTCTAATTCATTTGCAGAATTCGCTAGCAATGATCTAAAATTTAATAAGCATCTTGGGAAAGACCACAAAAACGTCCAAAGTTTAAACACATTGAATCGATACTTTAGAACAATTTGTATCAAGTGAAGATCATAGCAAACAAAAGGGACTGTGAGTTGTCTAAACTTTAAAACTCAATAGAGATTCATAAGGCATTTAGCTGCCAACGCTATAAAATAAAGCGGCTTTATGCAGCTGGCAATTGACGATTAACAATCAGAAAGTATAAATGATGTATCAGGATTAAATACTACATAGTATGTGTGATGTCCATCCTTGCTTCACAATCAAGAAATTGCTTTGCACCAACAACAAATGACAAGCGTTGACTAAGCGTTGACTTTTCCCAATTATATAATTTCGCGGGACGTATGATCTATTTTGACATTCTGTATGAAACAAGCAGATAATTTTATAATTAAATACGACAATTGCCAATTTTAAAATGATGAAAAATATTTCCTTCGGAGTCGCTGAACTTTAAAAAAATACCGGAATAACTACAATAATCGCAATTTTGTAAACATGACTGTGGAGCTAGTTATTTAAATGTTTGCACAAGAGAATAAGTTACGCGAAAAAAAAGTGTCTACTCGGATAACTGAAGCATATCGAAACGTGGAATGAATCCTAAAATATGTTAAAAAACATTCTTCATGAGCCTCTTACACCCTTTTCACACAATGCTGATCCTTTTTTTGTACACATAACATAACGGTCAAAATTTATTTAAGCAAAAACAAGTAAACACACTATAGTTGGAGAGGGCACACCATTCAATATCCTACATCATTTTGTTTAATACAGTTATTCATATAACGGCTTTCCAAAATAAGTCTCGATACGGGAGTTGTTGAAAAAGTGAACCGATCCGAACCACTAACCTTCGTCTTTCATTCAACACATGTCGTTTTACCAAATTTTATTAAAATACATCGAAGATTGTGACCTGTAGGTTGAACACAAGACGGAGAGAAGTCCGGACAAGCCTAAGTCTATTCAAAAAATGATTCTGAATCGATCTATATAATAAAAGGTCGGTCTATCTCAAGTCCATACACCACAAGTTGTACCACAACTGGTGTAGGGTATAATGAAAATATACGGTGCGGATATTTTTCCTAATCATTTTGACTTATATTCACCGCCGACAGATGAAAACGTAATTGTTTTGGTGTTTCGCTGGTAATAGAGATTAGGTCAGTATAAGATTTTGAGTCGATTTAACAAAGCTCGTCGAAAGCTGAAAGTTGTTGCAATTATGTTTAGGCAACATCTATAACTAGAAAAAAAAATTTGGAAAAAGTTTAAATGTTTTTATTACTGACACTATTTGTTGTATATACTGATCCGAAATATCGACACAGTTATTAAATACCGCAGTGCATATGTATGCGCATACACATTTATAGATTTTTAGTATTTGGTTTAAACTTAACTAAACAAGTGGGTATAGCACATTCGGCTCAAGCCGAATATAATTTCTCTTGTATTTTGAAATTTGATTTTTTGATGTCTGTGTCGATTTATTTTTTCACTTTGCTTATATGTTTACCGTATTTTTTTTAATTTGTTTTTTTTTATTATATTTTATGTTTTATTTCATTTTATCGCTTTTTTATTTCATGCACATTTATTTTGATTTTATTTCACTATACATTTTATGCAAATTTTATTTTAATTTTGTATTTTTCATTTAATATCATATGTATTTCAGACTTATTTTATAATGTTTTTTATTAGATTGTAGATAACATATTTTGTTTTCATTTTGCTTTACATTTAGTTGAATCGAATAATTTTGGTATTATTTTATTTTAATTTTCTATCATTTTTTTGCACCCACCATCAATGTATTTAGATATACTAGATTTGGCTTTCCAGATGTAGCATTCATATATATATATATATATGTATTAGACACCCCTTATGCGTACGCATCCATGCATATATACATATAGACATATAGCCGTACTCTTTTTGTAATATATATAATATATATAATATATGTATTATATATTATATAATACGTAATATTACATATATCTAAATATATTTTCGATCAGCTTAAAATTTCGAGTTCTCACGGTTGCTTATGCCGGGATTATTTTGATAATGGCTACAAATTAACCTTGAGGTTTGGAGTGATTTGCCTGCAACCACTCCCGTAACAGGGGAAAGACCATAGCTTACTGTCCATAGCAAAAATTAATCTAAATATTTACAAGGATGATTTAAAAGTTTTCTTGCCAGAACACGCCCATAATAAATACAAAAAGGCAACTTACAACCTATAAGAGATATTGAAATAAAACTTGATACAACTATTTTCTAAAGCCATCTAAAACAGCTGACCCACAATTCATAGAATTCCATTTTGTGATTTTTATGTATGTGTTCAAGGAGATGGGTATCAAAGATTCGCCTTAAGGCAAACATAATATCTTTTTTTTCATTTTATTATGTATATTGTAATATTCTTTTTGTCTATTAACAAACGTGGAGTACTACATAAAGAAAGAAAACAAATGCGCTCCATAGAAATTTTGGCTTTTGTCATTTTAATTACAAGTTTTTATATGCATCAGTAAAGAATGCGTCCACACTAATCCCCATCTATTTTATTTATTTTATTTATATCCTTTCTTTTTTGTAACACATACAAATCGAATGAAAGGCCATAAAGTAAAGCAATTCGTTATTCTTTCTAATGGAATGCGTAGTCGTTTTTGCTTTTATTTGTTAAACTGAATAAGTCTTTTTATTATTTGCATTGCTGCATAACGGTGTGCTGTTCTTAACATAAAAAATCAGTCGTTGTTGACATTTTTTTTTACTTCTTATTTCTTATTTCTATTCTACCGTACAATACAAATACAATATTAATCTAAATCTAAATCAACATGAATATGGGTAGAAATGTAAATAAACAACTAAAACGATAAGTATTTCTTTCAGATTTCATTTGTTTCTTGGAAAAACTTAAAAAGTACAATGAAATCATTATCTTTAGGATAAGAGAATGTTTCATAGTTTTAAATGCAGCACATAGTCTTTTTAGGCATTATTGGAGGATATGTTCAACATCGCCACTTTGTGTATGATCTTAAGAATTATGTCTACACATACGGCCATCGTATACAGAATTTTCGATTGATGTTAGATTCAAAATCGATCTAAAGCCATCTGTCTATTTCTACTTTTCTAATGACAGGGTGACAATGTCACGAAAAGTAAACCTGATGGAGGTAGGTCTTCCTGAAAGAAGATGTACAACGAATATCGGATCGGTATCATTGTTGCAAAGGTATGATTTCTTGAAAGAATTTTGGTTATCAACTTCAAAGTGAACTTATTTTTAGAACCGCATACAATTTTTTTTTCAGTTAGATTAAGCATATGCTGAATGCATTTATATTTGATATTGTGTGCTTTCTGAAAATAGATATAGTATGTCCATTCTACTTACACATACACACATACACACATCCATACATACACATACACCCACACACACACACACACCCACCCACCCACCCACACACACACACACACGATTCTATCTGAAAGAAAAAGTATTTTTCAATCTTTAAACAAAGGCTTTGATTAAGTTATTAGTTAAGGTCACTCAAAATAAATGCAATATTTTTTAAATATTAAATTGTTTTCTAATGTAATCATAAAGTTTTTTTTTTCATTATTATTGCTAGATAGATACTTACATATATGTATATGTATGATTAATAGTAGTTTCTTTTTTTTTCTTTTTGTTTTAAATAAATGGGTGGATTTACATTTATTTACTTTTATATACGTAACCCTTTTATGTATATATTTATCTTTTTTTTTCGATAAAGAGAAAGTTTACAAAAACCTTGTCATGTTAAATGGTCAGAGTTGTTTAGCAACACGAAATAAATAAAAAAAAAAAGCTTTTAAACATTTATTTGAAAGGTTTCTCTTTGCAACTTTGAATTGGCACGAATGCGTGGCGATGTCTGAGTTTTCGATTTTTCATTGCTGTCGGAAAAACGGGCCGGTGGATTTATGTGATCCTGATAGTTGGGAGGATAGTTCGATATGCTAGGAAAATATGATTGATTTTTTCGATATGTAAAATCTATTGAGTACAAAAATAATTTAATCTCTACCTAAAGGTAGTTTCTTCGTTGTGGCTGGAATATCCACTAGAGCTGCGTACGTGACGCTTGCCGCTAGTTCCTGTTTTACCAGATTTTCTAGAAGCAAATGGTGGTTTCGATTTACGTGACATGCTTGTCGGTGTAGTTTCCGATGAAGACGATGTCTCATCTTGTGTATCTGAAATAAACGATAATAAAATAAATTATTTATAATTTTTTGTTAAAGCTTTTTCATTTCTATTTCCATAAATGTCGAATATGTCATTACATACCTCTTTGTGCTCTATATTTGGCAGAATTGAGTGCTCGTGCCGACACATCATTGTCCGATTCGGAACCAAGAGTGTCATATTCTGTAATTGGTATGTGAAGTGTTAGGATTTTCCTAACTTCGGAATCTGTTGAGCCTGGATTGTCCGATTCTAAAACAATTTAGTACGATTTGATGATGGATTTGAACGATTGATTGATTGTTCGATTGATTTTGGGTTTGAGTTGATTTGAGTTTGAAAACATTTCATGTTATGATTTTGATTGGAGATGGCAGAGGGAATACAGAGTTAATGTTTATGATAGTACGAGTTGAAAAAAAAAAAAATAGATTGTGATGAAAAATAATAATTTAATCTGATGTACAACAGTCAATGTTATATGATTTAATGTTTTAGTCAATTGACATTCACTTTACCAGAAAAGGGGAAGAGCGGAGGGCATCAAATGGTTGATTAAATGAATAATTTAATGCGCTACTATCAAAAATATTTTTTCTTCAAATGCGAAACCTTAATCTAAATTTGTAACATACTATGTGAAACCTTGAACGTTTTAGACTAAATGTTATAAGCGTCGTAAATATAGTGGTCTTACCTTGGCTTTCAGAGTGTGGATCTCTAAGACGCCCCACTTTTCTTCTAACTTTCGTATATTCAGGTTCTTTGCTCTACAAATAAAAAAATTTCAGAATTTTGAAAATTTTGAAAGATTTAATCACAGGTTTTATTTACATGGTAACTATCGGGTTTCACATCATGGTAAACAAATGAACCTCTGACTGAATGATAGGGGCCACTGTACACATTACCGCTATACGAACTTTCGCTATAGGTCTGTTTGTTTAGTTGAAAGGTAGCATAGGGGCAGATATCTTCGATATACTCATTGCCTTCTGCTTTGCCAAAACTTCCGGAATCATTTGAATTGGAGCCACGTGGTTGACCACTGCCTGGATTACATCTCACTGCTAGATATTGTTGATCACGATTTTGTTTATTTTGTAAATTTGTCAAAGAAGGCGACTCTGACATCGATGATGAAGCCAAACGTCCTTGAGTATTCATTTCTAAGAAAGACAATTTTATTATACCCATCACCGAAGGATGAGGGGTATATTCGTTTTGTCAAAATGTTTGACACCTCTGAGAACACCTCTGTTTTTCAAAAGGAATGACAAATTGGATTTTTGCCCATTACTCATAAACTACGGCAAATAAATGTATAAAAATTTAAACGCAGATTCTATGGGCGATGCTGTAGTATTTGTGTACAAAAATGAAAAAAATTGACCACGCCTATTCGGTATTATAGTGTATCAAAATTTATTTTTTTACGATACCTTTATAAAACATAAATACGCGTCACAAAGTGTATAAATTCTTTGCCAAATTCAAATTTTGACTGCACCTAAACGTGTCCGCCTATTCCTCTGTCCATCTGTCTCTTGGCGCAATTTTATAATAGATGTGGTAAACATTCTCCCGTTACTGAAAGTGAAGATATCGCCTACAAATTTGCAAAAGTGTTTGGAATTGACCTAAACTTTTCAAAGGACACGCGTACAATGCCCACGGGTCTCTATGACAAAGTTTTATTTTGAGAATAGAAAAAATCAGCTGCGTCCACTCCATATTATAGAGTATGAAAATTTTGTTGTTTTACATCTTTTGTCTTTTATAGGATAACGGTGATGGGTATACAATATTCGGGCCCGACCGAATTTAATTTTCTTACTTACTGTTTATTTATGTTTATTTCGTTTTTTCACATTCCTTTTTTCGAAATTGCTTTTTTTCTGTTTTTTATTATAACTTTACATATTTTAGTTCGTGAGAAAAATACTCAATTAATGGTTTGAAAACTTACTTCGCTTCCTTATTAGTAAGATCGCTGCTATTAAGCTTAGCAAGACAATCATAGATAGACAAACAGGTAATAATACCTTGAAGTTAGCGTAGAAGGGACCATCGCTCAAACGAGAAACGGGGTCTGAATGATCAGTTGAGTAAATAACTATGAGGGAATTTTGATGATAATTATGATTTTGATTTCAAAATATTCAAAGCATTTTCTGATTTACCTCCCTGTGGTGATAGGGTCGTAAAATTATAAATTGCCGTTGTTGAGCCGGCATTATTGTGCGCTGTTACCTTAAGTTGATATTTCGTTCCAGGAACCAAATCACTAACAGTATAAATACGTTCTGTTGGTGGTATATGATTAGAAACCACATTCCAAGCAGATCTAAAATATGTAAAATTTACTTTCTTTTAGGGAAGGCTTGGACTTATTTTTGATATTGCTTACCTGCCATAAATACGTGACTCAATCATAAAATATAAGATACCACAACCGCCATCCCCCCAAGAATCCAACCAACATGTAACACTTGTTGAATTATTAGTTATCATTTGTGAATGCTTAGGCTGTACGGGTGGATTGCCCTTGGTATATGAGTTCACAATGTCACACGGTAAACCTGTGCCGATTTTATTGTAAGCTGTTATGTATAGTTGGTAGCGAGTACCACACCAAAGATTAGTTAGCAAATGCGAATTAGTTTTTGCGTCTACTTGCAATTCTTCCCAATCACCATTGTCGCGCTTATAATTTATAACGTAACCTAAAATTGGACTACCACCATGACTATTGTCGGTCCATTCCAAGTGTAAACTATCCGTATATGTATTAACTACAGTTAAATTGGGTGCTTCTGGCGGTACCTTCACTATAATATTATAGACGATTTCGTCTTTACCCCAAGTATTCTCTACGCTGCAGGTATAATTACCAGCATCAGTTGCTTGACATTCACGTATATAAAGTGTACCATTTTTCGCTATAGTTTTTCGTGTGCTAGTTTCCATGTTGTGACCGTCTTGACGCCATATAGTGACGGGAGCCGGCGAGCCTACTTTACGGCAAGGCAATTCTAAATTTTCTTTCCATGGACTTATTATTCGTTGACTGAACGATACAATGCGTGCTGGCACTTTATTATTGGGCGGTACTGTCACTACTTGTGTTTTTTCACCTTCGCCTACTTTAGTGGAGGCAGTCAGCCAGAATTGATAGGTGGCGGACTCTTGAGTTCGCTGTGTTTCGTGCATTTCCACATAAGGACCCAGAACTCGTTTATGTGTACCTTCTTCCCTACCGCCTTCTAACATCGACATATAAAAGGTGTAGCCGGTCTATAAGAGTAGATATTTAAGCACCAATATTTAGTAATAAATACCGCCGTAGTTTTCACTTTAGCGAAAACAATAATGAATAGGAACTTACAATGTCTCCATTTGGAAATTCCGGCGGTAGCCATGAAACAATAATTTTTGTACTTGACGCTGGTATAGCTTTGATTGCTTGCGGGGCCGAAGGCACTATATAATGAGATGAAAACGTCACAGAGAAGTAATAATTATCATTATTTGCATTATATATCCAAGTGAAAATAGGCCCAATAATTTTCTTGCAAATTTTAACGTTGTTTAAGAGATATCTATACTTATTATACGGAATACTTATTTCTCTGCAATATTTTACAATACGCTTTAGGTCTTCCAATTTTTCACCAACTATATACACACTTCATGCTAAATAGTAATAACAATTTTTTTTCTTTCTTTTTCCATATAACTCAAAATTTCAATTTTTATTTATATTTATATTGTCTATTTTTATTAAATTTTTATAATCGTTCTGTCGATTCAAAACCACTTAGTTATTAAATATGTCCCACTAATAATATAACCCATATTTTACCAAAGACAAGAAGTTGGACCATGTACGGTTGACTAATTTCACGTTACTATTTGTTATTTTACGCTTTTACTTTGTTTTTTATTCTCTTTCTCTTAACTTACCATCTTCGTGAGTGCGGCAATAGAATGGTTTTGTCTTCGCTCCGTCACCTATTTTTGTGTAGGCCAAAACCCAAACAGAATAATTGGTGTATTTGTGGAGATTTTCAATGGTAACGTACTGATTTGTTGATTTCACAACCTCCGGATCAGTTTCTGTGATGACAAAAGTGCAAGAAGTTAGAAACCTATTACTTTTAATATGGTGAAAACTTATAAATAATTGTCCGCATATATGTGTGTTTAGTGTGCGGAGGGCTTAAATAGTGGCACTGTTTGCGTACGTATCTTTTATAAACTCTTGTTCACTTCGAAAACGAAAGAAAGTTAATTGCCTTCCTTTGCAATCTTTATTACTATCGCAATAGCTTTTTTTCCTATTATTTTTTTTGCAAAAATAAAGGGACAATAGGGGACAAGCTTGACGTTGGTTTGTTTATAAACCAAAAAAATAAAGAAATAAGTAAAGCAAAATTATATAAACTTCGGAAATAATAAAATAAAATAAGTAAGAAAGTTATATTCGGTGGAGGTCGAATATTGCGTGCCCACCACTATCCTCTCCGCATTCTATTCTCTAAGTTCTTTTATTTTATACCCATATAGCCGGAATTATTAAGAAAAAAGGAATCGCGGCGTCTACCGTATTTATTTTAGAATTAACCCATTTTCAGGTAGATAACGTATCTTCATACGAAAAATGCCCAAATTGTTTGCGTTATGATAACTTCAAAAAAGTGATGGCCATTTTTGCATGTGAAGAAGATAAATGTGGAAAATTTCAGCCTTCTAACTTTTATAATTTCTGAGTAACGAATAAAAATCCACAAATTTGTGTTAAGAAAAACGAACTTTCGTTCAGTTTATTCTCCACTGCGGGCTTCCGCTTCGAACGATTTTGCCCATTTTAGATACTGACCTGCGTGCAAAAGCTTGCAGTGTGTCTACCAAATTTGAAGTCGATATCTTTATTTTTGCGACCGCGATAGTGCCAACAACGAAAACTACGCAGATACACAGACGAACACACATGGCTAAATCAATCAGAACTTCACGCTGACCAAGAATATATATACTTGAAATCTGAAGCTTACTGTTGGGTGTTACATTCATTATGAAAAAAAAAACAAACAAAATAAGTGTACGCCCATCTTACAGTGTTGGATAGAATAAAGTGAAATAGCAATCACGTTCAAAAAACTGAAACAATAAAGTTCTGTTATGTATATTATTAAAAACAATGCATTGGCATCAATTGAAACTAGTATTGGAAATAGTCTATTAACCCCATTTTGACTCTAAACATTTGGATAGAACAAACCCTTTGTAAAATTTTGTGGTTTGCATGCATTTCAACTTTAATTAACATAATTATATCCTCTACAAGATAATTTGTGTATGTCAATAAAATAGTACATAAGAGCGAGCCCGCTGAGGCTTTAAAAAGGGTTTATAAAGAATGCACCAAAAAGTAAACGACGTTCGACGACGAAATCATGCTTTGAATGACTTCAACGCTGGGAAGTTTTAATTATCGGTAGCATGTGAACATATGAGTAAACTATATGGATGTTCATTTCACAGGACTGAACAACGCAAAGAGTTATGGATTATTGAATGATCGATACATGGTTTATACAATGCAATTTTGTCTAATTCAATATTTTAAAGTGCGTTGAAATAAGCGAGCATGTGAGCTTATTTATTATTCAAAGCAAGGGTATGTATTATTAAAACCGCGCGGACGTATGCAATACCAGGAGACTTGATATAGGTTCATCTTTTATTATATCGCAATTTTCCAAGATATTTTGAAAAAGTTTGGTATCCTATCGTGTTTTGCGAAAAAATTTCAATGAAATGGAATCACATTGTGAACACCTTATATTAATAAAGTATAAAACATTTTGACCTTGAAAATTGCGATAATCCTAGGTGAACGAACATACCGTTTGGCAAATTACATCTTCTATGTGTTTGTTAGCAAATCATATATAAACTGCATAGTGTGTGCATGGTAGATGGGTAAATACATAAATCACAAATAAGAAAATTATATTTGATCGCCACCGAATCACCCATCACGGGTAATCTAAAATAGGCAAAAAAAATTAAAGAATTAAATTTTCGTGTTTAATAATACGGACTTTTTCTATTTTCAAAATGAGAAGATTTGTCGCATAAGTGTGTGGGCGTTGTAAGCGTATCTTTTGAAAAGTTTGCGTCACTTCCAAATTCTTTTGTAAACTTGTAGGCAATATCATCGTTCGCTAATGGTATTACCGCAGATACTGCGCAGTTGGGCAAACGGATAGATGGGCAGACGGATAGATGAATAGACGAACCGACGAGTATTTAAAATTTCTAATTGATCAAGAATTTATATAATATATACGGGGATTTGAAGCTTGTTGCTGCACATTATATGGGCATTTAAAAAAAATTAAATTTTAATACACTATAATATTAAGTAGGCGTGGTCAATTTTTCCGATATTTGTACGCCCATAGAATATGCATACAAATTTTTATACATTTATGTGCTATAGTTTATGAGTAATGAACAAAGAATCAATTTTTCATTCCTTTTGAAAAATAGAGAGGCTTTAAGTCTACGTGGTACTGGGGACGTGACTGATTTGGCCAATTTTTAATACAAATCTGAGTACAAAGACTTGCAATGTTTCTGCCAAATTTGATGTCGATAGCTCCAATTTTGCGTCCAGAAGAATATTTACAACACGCATTACACAGACGGACTTAAATCGATTTAGGATTTGACGCTGATCAAGAATAGTCTAGTGTGATCGCATATCGTTATATGCATCCACTTTGAAGTTTCACAGAATTATGCAAATTCAGCATAATTCTTTTGCGAAAAGAAAAATGAAAATTATGTTACACTTCACCTGGCTGAGTATTGCATTACGAAATGCAATGCGATGCCAGGCGTCCCAACTAAAAAAATATTATTTGTTTACGTTAGCATAATTTAGTGTAATAATTTGTGTATAAATAGCTAGGTAAGAATTAAATGAAATCAATTGTCAAAAAGCAATTCAGAAGCGTTTAATTCGCTAGAACAATAAAAGGCGTTCCATTCCCCTAAAATTATAGATAGGGACTGCTTAATGCCGATCTCGATTGGCATTTTGTGAAGCAGATTGACTTGGCGTTCTGAAGTCGAGCAGTCAGGGTAAAACACCACAAAAGATCTGGTCACTCCTTGGAAAGATTTATAGGGAATCTTTCCAATAAAATAAAATGTTAGTAAACAAAACTTTTTAATATTACAATATATGTACTTTATGGTGTCTTTAATGCTTCCTCCTGGGCTTTGAAAAAGTTTTGACTACCCCTTCTCCTTCGGTGATGGGTATACAAAGGCTAAAGTAAGTCACTCTTATTTTTCTAATATGCTTATTTAAATTGTTATTCCGGTGAAACGCGCGAAGAGAAGAAGGTGTACGAATTTCCTACTACAAGGGGGATTATGCATGCAATCTTTACTCATTTACCAATAACAAATGTTTTGAATGTACTTATTGACGTTTCCATAATAATTGTCGTGCTTAACGGTTATCGCTTAAGCAATGAATGACAAAAACTTTGTGTTCAATTAATAAACTTACCGTACAATTCATCGATTGTTATGTAGAAGACTTTGTATCCTTTGATTTTACCATTTTGACCATCAATGTCAGGCGGTGACCATGTTATATAAATTGATGTTGAGCTTAATACATCACACTGTGGACTTTCAGGAGGTGATGATGGCACTAAGCACATAGCAGGCGTTTGTTTGTGTATATATGGGATGGAAGTGGGTGTTTTAACACATAAAAACTTATTTAGGTTGACTTTATACGTTTAAGAGTGTACTTACCATCTTCCAATGTTTGTACGGCAATTTCTTTGCTGGGTGGCCCGCTACCCTGACTAGTGTAGGCTTGCACAATGATGTGGTACTGTGTAAATTTGTTAAGGTTCGTTAGAACAGTCTCACCGCCAAAATGAGAGCGCACTTCAACAGTTTTAAAACTGAAACCTTGTGTAGGATTCACTTCCTTATCTTCAGGCGATAATGACATTTGATAGCCCACATAGTAACCCAACAGAATACCGTTCCAATCATCACGTTCTGGTGCATCCCATGTTACTGATATTTCAGAAGAGCTTTTGGCTTCGGCTCGAACATTTAAAGGAGGACCGGAAGGCACCTCCTCTAATGTGGTTACCTGCACCACTTCAGAATTATCAGAGGCACCCAATTTATTTTCTGCCGACATGCGAATATGATAAGCTTTGGCTGGTCGCAGATTAGCAATGTTGACTACCGTCTGTGAGCCAGTAATTGTGATATGTTCAGCATTCTGCCAAATATCTGAAAAGATAATAAAGAAAATCAGTGAAAATCATCAGCTAACTGCAATTTGTTCACGTCTTCTTGTTTTTTCTTGCACTTGTATGTTTAAATTAATGATGATATAAACACTTTAAACCAAGTGTATGAGAGCTTTAATCGAATATTTTACAAATATCATTGTCTACAGGGTTCATGATGATTGAGATGATGGCTAAAAATTTACTCCTACACTTCAAGTTAATGGTTTTCATCCGCTTTTTGACTCTGTATGAGTAAAATTTAACACTTGTGACGAAATGAATTTAATAAAACGAAAAGTTTCGTATCAGAAGCATGCTTTCCAATGTTTTCTCGTATGATATCTTGTGTAATAAAAAAGGCGTGAAAAAAAAGGCAATGCAATTCTGCTTCTGATTTCTGTTATCGATGTAAATAATAAGTCACATTGAAAAGTCTCCGCGGTTTTTTCCGTGGTTTTTGTAGCCTGCTCTTTTCAAATGATTCGAAATTATCATGGGGATGGTGTTTAGTGTCTCCGCTGCGAGCAAATCATTCCTGTGTTCTTTGTTCATTCACAGCATTCTCATCTGAAATGTCATCTTTTAAGCACATGTTCGGTTGAGGCAATCAGTTGAGTGTTGCCCGATATATAGACATCAACATCATCCCGCAGAAAAAATATGACCTATCATTTTGGTAATCAAATGACTCTAGTGCTCATAAATATATAGTCCACTGTAAATAAATAACACAATTTCCATGTCACAATATGCAAATTAGTTCAAGCTTAAGCTTCCTTTTATATAATTTTCAATTTATAGTGTTTCGAACAAGTCACAATTTCTCAGTTGTTAAAAGATTTCGGACGGATCAATTCAGCTGAATTTATATAGTAGTCGCTTGAGTACTATCTCTAAAAGTGTTAGAAGAATATAAAGTTAATGGAGAATACTTATATATTGAAACGAATTTCCGAAGCTTACATTTATGTAATGAACAAACGAACATACCACTGCGCAATGGATATAAAAAAATATTGTTGAAGCAAGAATCGGTTTAGGGTTTCCGATATCGAGTGCGTGCTCGATTCGAAAGTTCTTCTTGATAGTATCGTTTTGTGAGTTTATACAGTTCGACTGCCCTTTAAATCGAGAAAACTGCCTTAATCGACAAATAAACAACGGAATACAAGTTATATCATTAGCATGTAAACAATGTAAATGCAAGTAGATGCAAAAAAGAGGAAGATGTTCAATAATGAAATAAAAAAACCGTAATGCACATAAACTATTTCAATTTGTCTAAATATACATAAGCTAAAGCAAGTAAGAATATTTAAAAGTCACGACGCATCATTGGATGGTCTACATCAGCATACAGTTATCCATATAGCAACTTTTCAAAATAAGTCAATATACGGGAAGTGGGCGGACAAATGGTGCAATCCAAATCATTTTCCAAAGCCTTCGTCCCTGGGCCAAAATACGTCAGCGTTACAAATTTTATTAAAATATGTTACAAATTACGACTTGTAGGTTTGAAAACAGCACATACGGATGGAAAGACAAGCTTGAAAGCAGGTATAATAAAGAGAAAGGGAGCGAGTCTATCTCAAACGCTTGTAGCTGTTGCTTACACCTGCACGAACTTAATGTACCCTTTTATCATAAGTGGTTTAGCGCATAAATATCGAAACTTATTTATGCCTCTATGTCTCATAGGAAACCTCTCAAGGAATCAAGTGAATGGGTATTGAATAAAGTACATATAAATGTTCGTTCAACAATAGAATGGACGAAAGCCATTTTAAAGGCACCATGTAAAATTTTATTAAATAAAAAAGGAGCCGGTGTTGTCTTATTAAAATGATTAAATTTGCAAAGGCTCATGTGTTTTTGCCACAACATTTGTGTAACATTGATCGGCACAGAGGAAATTTACAGACGCAGAGGAAATTTACAGAAAACATTGCTACCAATTTAAAATAAATAGAATTAAAGAAATAATGACAAACCGAATTAAAGAAAGAGTAATTAATTAAACTAAAGGTATTATTATCATTTAAAATTTCTAGTTCTTTTTTCCTAATCTCTCCCAACAATTTAATGTTAATATATTTTTGATGACATCTTTTAATTTTATAGCAACAGAAGATACAAAAAATTGAAAACAGGTATTGGCTTTTTCCAATATTTTGGTATTTCCGTCATTAACGAGATTGGGTAGCCTTCGTGTCTATTAATTGTATCAAATATGTGCATTTCGTGACAATATTTTATATGAATACGTTACTCGACAGCAACTTTCTGATCGAGAAATTTTTTACTCGATAGTATGTACAATGCATACTTTATCGATAGCCGCAAGGTCACTAATTCATAGAACGACTCGACAGCCGAGATCGACTTTACTCAAAATCGAGAATCGTAAACTGACCCCAAATTGCTAGTACAGGTGCTATGGTGTTATTAAGCAAATGCAATATATATATGTATGTATATACCAATGTAAAATTTAATTTCATTTTATTTGTAGTTGTATACATAGGTCCTTAAAAGAGTACGAACCTGTAATTATTTTATAAAATATATGATATTCCTCGATAGGACTGTTACCAGCGAACGGCTGACTCCACGTTAGCTGTAAACTGCGAGATTGTTGTGAGTTTATGCGCAAATTTTTTGGTTGTTCTGGAACTTCCTGCACAATTAATTGTAAAGACATCTCATCCTATGCGTATAAAAATATTAAAGCGCAATTAAGTAAAAACAAATATTATGTAAAGTTAAATAAATTTTTTTATTATAAAAATGTTCATTTTTATATTTTGCAAGTTTCCGAAATTGAAAAACGAAAGTCCATGTGCGAGACGTGCGTCTGTCACTCCATTAAGAAACTCTAGAAATATGCATACCCCGCAAAATTTATGGATTCATGATAAACTTAAGAACTTGAATCCGGCGCAATCCTTCCGTTTTTCGCCACAGATCGGTTCTAAAAACGAATGTTATTCTCCCATAAATATTCCGATAAAAGCTCTGACACCCATAGGTTAGATTAGTTAGCTGCTGGCGTGTGATAATTTTATTTATCAGGGGCATGTAAAATTGCCCTTGTAAACTGAACAATTTACTTTTAAGTACTTACTTGAAACGAACGGTAACCCAAATTCGCCCCATGGTACACAAAACTCACGCTTTTACTTTATATTTGATGGTTATACACGTATTAGCTTATCCCATAAATACCGCAGCTTCTTCTAGATATAGAAATTCAAAGTCCGAACGGGGAGTTAAACTAACGTGTCATTAGCATGTCATAAAAGGAAGAAATATAAAACAAGTAAAACGAAGATAGTCGGGCAACCCTGATATTAAATATCCTACACCACTGCGCCTAGTATAACTTTTCATCTATTTTCGTGATAAAATGCTAAAAGTTATAACTTTGGTATCTAAAGGAACACTTTTTGTGAAAACCCCTACATTGGGGTGTGCTCAAAACGTCAGCTGATGTGGTCCGAACTCAGCAAATGTAATTTGCTTTTTAAAATTTTTATTATTGTACGCCTATTTTTGCCACAAAAAGCTACAAATTAGACTTCGCCGCTTGCTTGCTTAATTTTAAAGCAAACCTACGTGATCCAAATTCCCCGTCGTTAATTTTTATACTACATTGCCACTATGGACTTATTTTCATCATAGAGCATTAAAAAGTAAATCTTTTCGCTAAAGAGCTTACTATTCATGAAAACCATTGTAAGGAATATTGTCCAAACAAAATAGGTCCATTTGATTCAAACCTGGGCCATTTAATTTTCATGTCAAATTACTATTATGGACAAATTTTGTTTTCCATTAAATATTAGAAATTAGACCTTTTTGGCATGTAAGGGCTTACCATGTTTCATGAAAGTCCTTGTATAAATAAGTTTAAGCGATGTAAGATATAAAAAAAAAATAGTTAAGGGAATTTGTAAACAAATTAACCTTAAAGAATTTGGGTCATAAAGATCTATTTTTTAGACCACATCACAGTTACGGGCTTTCATGGAAAACAAACCTTTCTGTATATATCAAGTTCGCCAAATTTAAACCAGGTTAGTATATGTTTCGACCTTGCTCCAATATGAGGACCTGCACTAAAACTATACGCCTTTACATAGACGTAGTGTACAATTTTTGGTGTATTATTGCGAAGATGATTGAATGACTGTATTAGGTGGTGTCGAGTATCTAACGATTGGCCTTGCCTGACTCGTAAAATATATCAATTTAATATATTGGAAACAAATAAAAGGTATAAGTCGCCGTCAGCGGCTGCTTTGAAATGCGAGAATCGGTTCAATGAAATAAGTATGAAAAGTCGCATTACCCATAGAGCGACCTAATGTATTGTATGTATATTGGTTGTAAATGTATGTGCAATGATAGCAGATCCGAAATTTGAAAATAAAAAAAAAAGTAAATTTTGTGTGTGCAGACAGCCGTGCATTTGACAAATGCATTTACACATTTATAGGTACTATGTGTGTATGCATGCGTGACACTTGTTATTTATGCTTTTCCTTCGTTCGCACACGTAAACAAGCCACGTACAACCAACATACGTTATAAACGAAATTCAATAGTTACTTAAACACGAACATTTCGTTTAAATCTGAATCGCTGATTATGAAAGTGAAACAAACCGAGAGATATTTAAGATTATATAGAGAATTTAATATTTTGAAAGGTTCACATTGGAAAATCGAAGCATATTGGTGCCTTAACATATTTTGGTGAACAACAACAACTAATTCAGTTTAGCAGTTTAATTTTTACATAATCTAGAAAAAGCTTAGGCTTTTGTAAGATTGCTTTTACAATGAACGGCATTTATTTGCATGGACATGCATAGACTGGCCGTCATCAGAAAAAAAAAAAAGAAAGCGTCTTCTGGCTAAGACGATTGTGATTACAAATATAAATTTGGTAAAATTTGAAAAGAGACTTCAGAAACCTATCCCAACTTATTTTAAACATAAAAAATGCGCTGATTACATTTTTATACTGCACCGTATTACGAGTTAACATTTTTGATACATGCCTTTGAAAAGTAACTAATAAGTCGCAAGGAGTAGAATATTGCATTTTTGTTTAAAAAAAATGACAAAAGTAGCCGATAACCTCGTTATTACATAAGGAATATTAAAACAAATAAAAACCTTGATAGTCGATCAAAGCCGACGATTAAATGCACTTCGCCTAATACAATTCTGCATTTGTTTTCGCGATAAACCCTTATATTCCTTATATAGAGAAGAGTCCAAAACGTAAAATGCCGGGATCCAAATTCAGTAAAACTAAATTTCTTGTCAAAGATCTTATTATTTTCACGCATTTTCATTATAAAAAAGTGAGAATTCGACTTTGTGCGAATTACAGTGAGTCCCATTAAAATTGGTTTTTTTGCTCGACTAAAAATAAATGGTTGTTAAATTTAGTCTATTGTCTCAACATAAAAATGTGTTTTCTACTATTTTCTACTACGTGGGAATACATATTAAAATATAAAAAAAAAAACCAAACGAAACATTATTCCAGCAGCCAAGACAATTGAATAATTTCGAGAACTGAAAAAACAGAGCATTCGTCATCAATATTAAGTTTTTTTCATATAAGGAAGAATACGCAGAAAAAAATAGGATATTATTAAAAATTAATATTTTCCGAGGTATCCTATTTGCTTAATAACGTCATTTGAACGCTTTGACATATTTTGTACATTTTTTCATGTATAGGGAACCGGGATCTTACTCCATTCTTCTTATACTCTATTTTTCAGATCTTGGACGGAAGAGATTGAGTATATTCGCACACGGCAGTCCAGTTTAGCCGTTTAGTGCGTTGAAGTTAAATATTCGTATCTCTACGGTGAGTGATTATAATCATATTGAATATAATCAATTCTCAAATAAATGAAGAATACGAGAGTGTAAAAAATCACTTACCTGGCCGAAGGCATTGCTGGCCTGGCATATGTAAATACCAGTATCTTGTCGATAAGTGTGAGAAATACCTAATTCTGAAACCATGCCATCATCCAGAATTTGATCACGTATTGCGTATCTGGAAAATAACACAGTCTAGTTTAGTATATCTTTTGAATTTGTATATCGAACCCTCAGGTGAGTTGGAAAAATTTTCTTTCATATTTTAGATAAATATTCGTTTTATACGCTTATTATAAGAGGTGCATCTATCGATTAATTACACCCATGTATTGAATTTTAAGTCGACTACGTAAATATTTGTTCTAAGTTTTATATTGTTATTTACTTGTCACAAGTTGTGTTCACATTTTACAAGTTATATTCTTTTGTCTTTTGTAAGCATTTATGGCTGCACTTTTACGACTAGATCGAGTACCGGTAGCTAAGAATACGCATATGTTTATCACATTTCACAGAAAAAAAGACAAGTGTAAATTGTGAAGATTGAGCGGGGGCACTTCCACAATGAAACAAAATTATTAGAGCACAATTAATGATCGGATTAGTACACATAGAGTATATATGATAAAAGGCAGGGATATATGTTCTTGAGTTGTTGCCATTTTTGTAGGTTTGAACTGTTATAAATAAAATTGGGGTCGAACATTTGCTAAAGTACAATCCAGTAAAATAAATCCGTGCTATCCGACGTACCTAGAGTCTAGAGATTCATCCAAGTACTGTTGTGTTGCTTGAATTTTCCATTTAATGTCAATTGGATTATCACCTTGAACATTGCACTGGACGTGAACTTGTTTGCCTTTGGGAACGGATATTTGTTTTGATTTTGTTTGAAAATGGGCTGGAACTGAAAAAAAGCGCAGTCAAGATTAACGGAAATATGAACGATTTATATGATTGTCATTTAAAACCCACTTACCATTCACTTTCAAAAATATCACTTTGCTCACACCAGAACCGATATTGTTTTTTGCTTCGCAAAGGAAATGACCCTGAGATTCTTTGCTGATTTTCTTAAAATAAATTGTACCGTTTGGGAATAACTGAACGGTGGGTTCATACAAAAAGTCTTTGTATTCACCCGGCGTAGGGCCGATGGCCTTCTTCCAAGTGATGCTTGGCTTAGGATAACCTGATGATTGGCAGTGAAGATAAACGTCTTGACCAGCTTGTGCACTCGAGTCTTTCGGTTCCAATACCCATTTAGGAGGCACGTTAACAGTTAAGGGAACAGTAAATCGTTCGGTGCCTGCTATATTTTGTGCTATACAGGTGTAGTTACCAGAATGTTCCGAGGTTATGTGTTCAATAACTAAACTGGCTGAGTACTCATCAAGACGCCTGATTACCTCATTGCTATAGATGAAGGAAAATTTAAAGACAATATTGAACTTTGTGTACAAAAAAATTCGTGTGTTTCTTACCCAGTGCCTATCAAAGGTTTGGCATTGCGTTCCCATCTGAAACTAACGGGTAAATCCCCTTCCAATATTTGACATGAAATGGCCGCTCTCATGCCCTCACGCAGCATATTAGTCATAGCTTGAATGGGCATAATTTTCGGTGGAACTAAAATTCATACATGTTTGTTTATTAATTCACGACTCAAGAATTCATTTCTATGTTTGTATTGCAAGTAAACAGAAAAGTGCAACATTCTGATTTTCAGCGTTTTGTTTGTCCTAACAGTTAACAGTAATTGCCATTTCCTGTCATTTATATTAAAACCAAGGAGCTGCATTTTCCAAATGCTGTGAATGTCACTTACTTACTATGAATGATAGTCAAGTATAAAACCTTTAAGTGAGGATGATCCAATTGTACTTAGTATTTGTTAAATCCCCAAAACAACTTGCGGACAGCACTGCAGTAGTCGGAAACGGCAGAGGACAAGGAATCATTTATTTCACGTGAAAATACGCCGTCACTTTGAGACTCATTTCCCACCCGTCTAATGCATGTAACTAGAAAACAAAAAAAAAAAGCAAAATCACAACGCCCGTATCGTCAATGCTCCATTTGATTCATTCTGTACGTCGCATGCTTATAAATAGCAGTATTCCTAAAAAAAAAGAAAAAAAATTTTGGGACGGGCCAAATATTTTGTCCCTTTTTTATGACTCTTTAACAGAAACCAGAAACTACCCTCTTATGGAAAAATGTGCCAATGTGGTTAATATAATTAGAAGACAATAATTATTTGCTTTTCGTATCTCATTCGAATGAGTGCTCTTAACAGTGGTCGTCTTCAAATGAATCTTAAGCACAAATTTGAAAAATGACGAAGAAACAAAGGAAGGCTTCAGAAGAAATTATTCATCTTCAGTATAAAGTGGCAGCAGAAAGTACTACGACTAAAATCTATTTTCGTCAATTTCATTAAATTCAAGACCAAACACGCCTGCAACTACATGTAAGTCTTGACTTGTGTTTTTAGTTTAGGCAATGAAAATATTTCTTAATGAAAGTAATTGAAACAAATAGGAAAATTATATTCGCGGTTGTGGACATTTTTTTTTTTAAATAAGAAGCAGAAAAATTGAAAGTTCGATATTTATAATATTAGGTGGACGTGGATAATCTTTCAGGTCTTGAACAGTAATGAACAAAAACCAATTTTTTTTTTTTTTTTTGGTTTTAAAAAGAGAGATTTTTAGAGATACTGACCTGCGAAGGTCATTTCCAATGTTTTTGTCAAATTTGAAGTCGATATCTATACAACCTATGGCCTTGTGTTTACCAAAGACAAGCACGCAGATGAACGGACAGACAGACGAACAGATATACTTAGATCGATTCAGAATTGCGTACTGAGCAAAACTATAGGATCTTTAATGTTTCTTTCTGAACATTCCAAACGTTTTGACGAAATGAGGGTTCCGCCATTTTTTAACGATGAGTATAAAAAGAGCACAAACTGGTAAAGGCGTCAGTAAAGGGTTTCTTATTTTTGAAGGAAGTCAAGTGTTTGCAAAAGGATCAGAGTCCAATTCTGAATCAATTAAACTATGTTCTTCAGTTCGTTTGCCAATTTGTGTGTTTTTGCACGAATATTGAAAGTTCTTGCCCATAAATTGATGAAAGGACAAGTCCACAGTAATATAAATTTCAGGATAACTCCGATTTCTGGGTTTTTTTTTTACTCACTATGCATGAACTACAAATTTCCACATACATTCAATAAAAATGGCTCAAATCGATGAAGTATGGAAATTTAGATATTATCGCTTCTTCTTTAGTCTTTCTTAAGGTGATAGCAACGTTTGTAATAGATTCCATCACGGCTGAATACAATTTTCTTGCTTGTTTTCCTCAAATTTTTTAATGATTCCGATTTGCTAAGACGATTGATACTTTTCTTTTTTTTTTCTTTGATTAACAAGAACACTAAGAACCAGAAAATGGCAAGAGAATATTAAATGAATTAATTTTTCCTACACCTATCTTAATTATGTTACCTTACGATATTTAAAGATTATAACATAATTCGTATGCATTATTTGAGGGTTTCTTAATTCATTTTATCTATATTATTATACCTACCACTGTAGGATGGGGGCATACTAATTTTGTGTTTGATTAGCGTGAAGTTTTGAGTTGATTTAGCCGTGTCTGCCCGTCTGTGTATCTGTGTGGTGTTTGTTATTCGCGTTCTCTTGGTCGCAAAAATGAAGATATCGACTTCAAATTTGCAAGTTTCTGCACGCAGGTTGATTTTGAAAATGGGCCAAATAGGTCGAGGTAGCAGCCCATAGTGAAGTAGAAACTGAACGCAACACCGTTTTGCTTAACAAACATTTGTGGGTTTTTGCTCGATACTCATTAAATATAAAAATTAGAAGGCTGAAATTTTCCTAATTTACTTTACGAAACAGTTTACCTTTTACGTGCAAAAATGATAGAGTGCGAAGAGTGTGGTGGTGGCGTATCCACAAAAAAATTTTTTTTTAATTCGAATTTTTTCTCTCATGCATGCGTCAAAAATGAAGGTTTCATCGTAAAAAAAATCAACCGTGTGCTATGAAATTATAGCTCTATCAGATGCGCTTGGTGGCGAAGTTTCTAACAACATGCGAACGGCTGACATCGACGAATTGATCCGGAAAGTTTTTTTTGAGGGAGGTGATTTGATCGAATTTATGACAGTTTAAGATAACAAAGAAGTCGGTAATGGCGAAGTCGAAGGAGAAACTCAACTATTAACGGCTGATTTAATTCGCGATGGCTTGAAACTGGGAACTTGAAGTATGCAACAATTTTTTCTGACATGGGGCGTGCATTGAAATTTTAACCCAATCTTCAGTTTTGTATAGCTGGATACCATGAATTTATATAACAATTTGAAAAGCCAAATACAAATAACCAAGCTGCTAATAGCAGAATTTATAACTTGAAAAAATCAATAGAGGCCGTTAATAATTTCATCATTCATGAATCAAACGCGACAGTTGTGCTAGACGTATTTAACATATCTACCGATGATAGGATTTTTGGTTTCGCTCATAATAAACGTGCGAGCTTGCTATTAGGTAGTAGTAAGGAGAAATTGATTTAAAATTTTATATGTTGTATTTATGGACTACATTTTCACTGCACATTTAAAATTTTTTTGTAATAAAAATGAATTGATTTGCTTTATTAATATATAATATTGATTTCATTATTACTTTTTTTGTACGATTTTTCCAGAAAATATTTTCCATCTTTTCAGTTTAGATAATGTTTTCAAGTTGTGAAACATATCCTCAAATTCACCCTCTGTAGCATGTATTTTCCCCCAATTTTTTTTGGCGTTTTTTAAGGAACGTATGTACCATGTAACAAAAGAGTTGGGTGTATGTATAGAGATAGAGAGAACGAGGAAGAAGAAGAATATATGCGAAATTTGGACTAGGACGATTCGTATTAAATTATGTACATTTTAAAAAATTTCATGCGTAATTTAATCATTTATCATATATTTTGTTTGGAAAGCACTTTTTCGCCGTTTCGTAAGACTTTAACATAAATTTCTGAGGGACGCTTTTTTATGCGGCTCCTTTTTACCGTATAAAATACGATTTTTTAATACGTGAAGAATTATCATTTGATTATAACTGAAAATATTTGAAAGTTTTTTTATTCGTTTTTTCTCGCGCAATCTCTAACTATCACACAAAAAACATATTAATCATATCTCTGCTTAAGGAATCGCAAACTATGTATTATTTTAAATTAGAAAAAAACCTTGTTAGATCCTTTGATTAAAAATGCTCAGAGATCTTTAAAGGATATAATTGTTGCATCGTAATCTAGTAGAAATAATGCAAAAATGTATTTAGTAAAATTTATTCGTTGACCAATTTTTAATATTAGCTTATACAACTTTCAGCTTTGAAAATGTGAGAAGATTGATTTTATATTTTAAAACATTTATGAATTTTAAGATATAAGAGGTACAGGAAATGGAAGTTAATCATGTTGTAGTTAAAAGTTAGCAGCATATCCTTTTTAAATTGGGGATTATCCCAATTTTATCACTAAAAGAGATAAATCTAGTTTTAATTGAAGAAAAATTTAAAGAAAAACTAGGAATCTTATATTCATATATATATATATTGTATCTTTATGTAGGTTAAATTCAAATTAATTGCAATGAATCGGTTCCCATTCAAGGCAACGTAAGTTATCTGTTTTTGTAAATTTACTAAAATTAATTGATTAACGGTGCATGCGGTTTAGCAGAGTATTTCGTCGGCAAATATTATTGCTACGCAATATTAACATCAGCAACAATAATAGTATTGACGATAATAGTACTGATTATGACTGCACCAAACATTATCATTAATTTGACAGACAAGTATCGCTTGTCCGTCTCTTTTTATCGTTGCTGATGATGAATTGGTGCGATTTTGTAAATATTTACTGCTGTTTCCAGTTACCTTATTATATTTTGTATTGCTTGCTGTCCCTTTTTATATCCAAAACCATTTTACGAGATATGACAACATGCGAATTTTGTTATTTCACTAGTAACAGGGGCAGAAAGAATTGCACTTGGAAATTTTATAAAAATTCATTAGATATTTTATAAAAGATCACCAGATGATTCCAAGTTAAGACTTCATTTGAAAAGGTATTAAAATGTCCGTTAACGAAAGCGCCTATAATTGTTCAAAAGCGCAAAACGAAAAGGTATGAATGTTTTGTCGAAAATTTTGTCGTCTCTTTTATTTAAAGTTTAATACGAATACGTACCAAAGCTGGATAAATATGTAAATGTTCCGTTCATTCGCTTTAACTAGTGGCGATTGACAAAAGTCAGATTAATAAGTAAGTAAGTTGATCTGATGGATATCAAAGAATTATTCTCAAAGCACAGGCATGGTTTCCTTAGTTGTTGTCAGTATTAACCTCGTTATTATTCATGTATGAACACACAAGAGGATAAATACATACAAATAATAGTGATGTACTCATACTGAAGAAGTCATTGACATTTTAAGAGCATGCTATTGAGGAGTAATGATTGCATTGCATTCGAATGATAAAATTGAAAATCAGTGTTGAAAAAAAAAGTGACAACACATACATATAAATTGTTTTGTCGTCTTCTTCTTCTTCTTCGGTTTTTTTTTTTTTTTTTTTTTTAATATGTATTATATCCACCACTGTAAGATGGGGTATACTCATTTTGTTTTTTTTCCAAAATATTTGTAACACCAAAGACAAATTTTCAGACACTATGTAAAGTATATATATTCTTGTCCAAAGCGAAAACTTGAGTTTATTTAGCCATGTCCGTCCGTCTGAAAGTCTATATGTCTGTGTGATGCGTGTTGTTGGTACTCTCCTTGTAGCAAAAATGAAGATATCGAATTTAAATTTGGCAGAAACATTGGAAGTTTTCTGTACATAGGTTGTTATTGAAAATTGGCCAAATTGGTCGCAGCAGAAACGCGCAGTGGAGCGTAAATTGAACGCAAGTCGGTTTTTTTTTTAACAAAAACTTTTGAATTGTTCCTCGTTACTCGGAAATTATTAAAGTTAGAAGGCTGAAATTTTCCACGTTTACCTTACGAAGTACCCTTTATGTGCAAAAATGGAAAACATAACTAACTCATGCCTACACAAAGTTACAAGTGATTAAATTTTATTTTTTTCACTTTTTTGAGGTTTTATGCTTATATATCCTAAGACAAACAAGGCAGAATGTTTAAAACTATTTTGTACACTGCTCAAATGAAGATATATTATTTGTCTAAAATTGGGTTAATTTTAATATGGATGTAATACCGTAATTAATTTTTTCTTAGTAATACCTGCGATATAAGTATCAAATAAAGAAACGTGGAGAGTAGAAAAACAAAGAGTAGCGAAAAACATACTGGTGGGTATGCGAGATTCGGCCCCCGCCGAATATAATTTTCTTAATTGTTTACTTTTCTTTTTATATAGATAGAATATTACTGTCAATATTTCTAGAGCTTACTATGAAAAATGATGAATGATGCATCATTTGTTATAAATAGAATCAGAAAGCCTTCATTAAGCAAACTCACAACCAACAAGTAAAGCATGAAGAATAAAGCGTACAGATATAGGAAAATTTCCTATGCAAGAAAGCTTATTTCAATTAGATGCATAACACATGTCCCGCAATCTCGTCAAGGAAAGCATGAATATATAATTGCTTTTAAAACAGTTTAAACTGTTTAAACTGTTAAAAACTGTTGAAAACTTAAACTTGCAAAACATATTCTTAATTTTATTCTGAACTAAACGAGATATCGTTCTAAAATATATTGTTCCGACTAATCAACCGACCCCGCTCACGGAATTAACGAAAACGCTCTATGTTCATTCAATATAAAAATAAGCAAGAGGATTTCTATTGATAAACGTGGCTTATTTGTTTATTCGAATTAATCTTATGATTTACAAATTATTTAAGTTATATATTGCGAGATGCAGAGGTTATTTAACTAGTATTAGTTTGGGGAAAAAGAAATCCATTATTTTTTCGGTAGATGGCTGCACTGATAGATTTCTCGTAAAGTATCGATCAAACAGTTTCATATTTATGCTCGTTGGAAAGGTGACATTTCGCAGTAAAAAAAATTCTTTTGCTGTTTTTTGTTTGGTACATTCAGTTGTGAGTTACAGCGTGTTAAAAATGGAAGTGAGAAAAATTGGAAAGAGAAAATTCGGTACATTTTACAGTTTTTCTTTGACAAAGGCGAAAATGCATGCCAGGCGGCTAAAATTGTGAATGGTGTTTATGGTTCCGATACTGTAACAGCCAATTATGTGCAATTTTGGTTTCGTAGATTCCTTTCAGGAATTTTTGATGTTAAAGATGCACCTCGCACAGGTAGGCCGGTCGTCGAAAATGTCGATAAAATCGGAGAAATGATCGAAGTTGACCGGCATGTTAGCAGTCGTAACATCGCCCAGAAGCTAAAAACCGACCATAAAACAGTTTTAAACCATTTACACAAAGCTGGATTCAAAAAGAAGCTCGATGTTTGGGTGCCACACCAACTAACAGAAAAAACATGATGGATCGAATTTCCATCTGCGAAGCCTTGGCCAAATGGAATGAGATAGACCCATTTCTTAAACGGATGGTGACTGGAGATGAGAAATGGATCACATACGATAACCCTGTGCGAAAACGATCGTGGTCAAAGAGCGGTGAAGCACCTCAAACGGCCAGGAAGGTTTTGTTATGCATTTGGTGGGACTGGAAGGGGATTATTTATTATGAGTTGCTTCCATATGGCCAAACGCTAAATTCTGATCTCTACTGTCAACAACTGGACCGTTTGACGATAGCGATTGACCAGAAACGGCCAGAATTGGCCAACAGGAGACGTGTCGTGTTCCACCAGGACAACGCTAGCCCACACACATCTACAGTGACTCGCCAGAAACTTCGGGAGCTTGGTTGGTAAGTTTTAATGCATCCGCCATACGGTCCGGACTTGGCACCAAGCGATTATCATCTTTTTCTTGCATTGCAAAATTTCTTTAATGATAAAAAATTGGAATCTAGGGAGGATTGTGAAAATCGACTACTAGAGTTTTTTGCAAATAGAGACCAGGACTTCTATGAGAGAGGTATTTTGAAGTTACCTTTAAAATGGCAACAAATCATACAACAAAACGGTGCATATTTGACCCAAGTCGGACAATCCGAAGCATGTTAAATAAAGTCCTGAAGTTCATATAAAAATTATTGGATTTATTTTTCCCCAAACTAATATATACATTATTATACTTATTTATATATATCTTGTCACAAATTGTAATTTTATTGCATTTTAATATTTGTAGCATTAAAGTGCGAAGAACTGAATTAAAGTCTCGTTATTTTTTAAGCAATTTTTTTAAGAAATTTATTTATCAACTGCTTCACACGAAAAGATGTCGAAGAGCGACATAAGAACATGTGCGAAAGGCTGTCCTACAGGAATTAAAGTATGTGTTTTGTGCATACCATTGTGAATGATTGTGCAAAATGAATCCTTTACCATAACGGCAGGCTTAAAAAACTGAATTTCACAGTATTATTCCGGTAAAGATTCGAAGCATACATATGGTATTCATGGCTTCAATTAAAGAAAGCTTGTTATAGAGTTTGGTCTTAAAAGCGAAATATCTAACTAAAGCATACTTAAACATACAGAGTGTAAGTATTGAATTGCTCAACGGTAACAACCGCATCTAGACTGCACAGATTGGTTACAACTCCTTCAACGCAGAGGCTTCACACGACACAATGAAAGACTCGTGAGTGAGACTCGTTGTCTTAACACTTATGCACTTGTAAAACTGAAATCCATCAAAAAATAAATCTGTTATTGCTTAGACGCTTTCGAAATTATCGCGAATTCGACAAAGGTATTGTCCTACAAACAAATTCCAATTCGACTAATTGGATTTTAACTTTTAAATTGAATAATAAGTCCAACTCTTTCTATGCTCACTATTATTATTATTAGTAGTTTTAACGGCAACAGAGCTGCATTCGGTAAACCGCCGTAACTGTAACAGTTTTGCCCTGAAGGTTGTGTACATGAAATACATTTTTAGCGTTTTGCTAAGCAAAGACTATGCCTTTCAAACTCATTCGCAACACTTATAAAGTTCTCATTAAATAAAATAGGAGGTGCTTCTTGGAAAGACTACAGTTGCAGTTAAACAAGCCGAACAAGAAATATGCCTAGATATCTTGCCAAGCACCATAATATATAACATTGTTTTCGCGTGAAAAGAGAACGTTTCTTATATTTCATGTAAAAAAATTATGTTCTTAGTTTTAGACATACCTAGGACCTGTATCTCCACATTGCGGCGCGATGTTTGCTTTTGTTTATTTTGCGCCATACACGTATAAGTGCCCGCATCCTCTAATCGTTGCAGTTGTTCAATAATTAAAGTCCCATTGTTGTAAGCTCTTTGACGACGATTAATGGGTAGAGTTTGACCATCTGTCGAATACAAATACATTCAAAATCGAATTTCTTACGTAATTTATTAAAAAAAGAAAAAAACAAAACAAACAATAATAATATATAGAAGCTCCTTTATCTGCTTGTAGTTGCTTTTTATAGATCATGTCCACAAAAGGCCAGAAGTTTGGAGTTGCTACGTGGGAAAAACCGGATAATTCATAGTTTTTTTCTCCCTGTATTATCCATCGAGGTAAGTGAAGGAACAATATTTCATGAACACGATGTTTCTTTTTGTTTGCTTGATGAGATTTGCAATAAGTGAACAAGCTTTGTGGTGTTGAAAAATGACTTTTTTTTAAATCTATTAGTTATTTCGTTGTTTCATTGTGTTTGAGCGGCATTACGAAAAGCCTTCTGATATCCTAGATCACAGAACACGAGCTACCAAGCCATGGAGATACCGATATTAAGATTTGATCCTATATCATTTCTGATTTCTTATGATTAGAATTATCAGAGAGAGTCCTTATTTGTCTTTACAATATTTACAATATTTAACAATCTTCAGTGAAACTTTTGCTTAAATATAGGGAGGAGTAGGAGAAATAATATCTGTTATAAAACACGTTTTGTGGATACACAGTTTCACATATTTGAAGATAAAAACAAATGAAAATATTATAGTTCTGCAACGTTGATAATCAAACACCTTCGTGATCGACGTCTTTGTAAAGAGAATCTTTAAATTGATTATTTGGAAAGATGCCCAATAAAAAACCCTATGTGGTTATCATTCTTGATCAGTTTACATCACAAAATAGTAAAAACTAGATTTTGTTGTCCTGTACTACCTTATTTTTTGTAAGAAAGTTTACTTCAGCGGGGACAAGTTTTTTCATCATCGAGTCATATTATGACGGGAGCTAGATTAAGGTCCACCAATTATTAAAAATGCGGCATTTTGTACCGATTCTCGCATTACATTTCACATTTGATGGCTGCATAACTGAACTGGTAGTGACGACAGACACAATTCGTTTGTAGCATTGCTAAGTGCGAGCAAATTGAGTTATTTGAAATTTTAAAAGAAGCCGGTCGCACTCGCCGGCATCACGGGTCGGTATTTGCCCATGCTTAGTCGACATGATCATTCCACAATCCAGTAGCTAAGAAGGACGTCTGCCAAGTGCTGTCGTATGAAGGCTCAAACTCCATGCATGATAAATCTTACTATAGTAAGAATCGTCGTGCTCCTGTAAATAGCCGCCAAATGTATATAGACTGGACTTATTGTTTCATTACCGTTTTTATAAATTTAGAAAGGGAAAGTAGTTTAAGGTGGGTATGTTTGGCATATAGGGTACGTGAGAGAGCACATTAAATTTTACCTATTTAATCTTGGGCAACGCGATAAGGAATGCACTAATTGATACATTGGTTTGATATAATAACTCCCTCCCTTTCACCAAATGCGGCCGTTTTTCCTGGTTTTTTCTCTTAAGCAGTCCAATGCGGTCACACGAACCTTCACTATTGGTGGTTTTCTTCTTGATGGGAGTTTGTTTTTGTTTCGTTGTAAGCGCACGTGGCAGGCGTCTTGCGCGTAGTTTTCATATTTTCAAATGTTTTGTGATTATATGATATATAGGGCTTTTTGGGAGACTTCGAACGCCTATTACCTTGCGTACTTCCAGTCAACGATTTGAGGATTTATTCACAATTGCTGGCATGCGCATCTAAGTTATTTCGCCGGCCAGCGCTATCTATGTTTTTGTTGTCAATTCGCACGATGTCATTTAAACTTTGATACTTGGTTAATATTTTATTATTATTAACAAAGGAGTAAACTCTCGTGGAGTACAATTGTGCTCGTCTTTGGTATGGGCACGACTGAGGCTTTTCAAATGCAAAAATTTTAATTATTAACGATGACCAATTTTTTTCACGTTTACAAATTTAATGAAAGATTTAATTTTTGTCACAAAAATGCATCGCGTCTTTAAGTTTGAAATCGAAGCTTTAAAAAATGGCTACTTTCGTAATTACGGCAATTTTTTTTTTGAGCAATAACTTTAATATAAACGTGAGTTTAGATACATCTGCGACTATATGCTTTCGTATGTCATTTATAAGCAAACACGATAAATATCAATTTAAAATTGGAATTGCTAAGGAATCATATGTTCTGCGGTACCTGACATTTGTCTTAATGTAAATGTAAATATACCTGGATATTATTTAAATAAATACTCTGTTTCTTTCATTTATTCGTTTTTCATTTGCATACATACCTCGTTCCCAGTGAATTTTATCGATTGGGTACCCAGCCACAGGACATTTGACAATCAAATCCGAACCAGAAATCCCTGTAATCTTGGGCATTTCACGTATATACGGTAGACCATAGATATTTACTTTAGCACTATGAGATACTCTAAAATAAATAATTAAATATATTCAAATATATATACGATGCATTTACTTATATTTAAAGCAACAAATGCACTCATTTCTAGATCACAAGTCTAAAGAAAAGTTTAAACCATTGAAACATACAAAATATTGCTTTATTTTAAATTTATCTTTCTCTCCCCTCACTTTATCCCGGCCATAGCATGCTATGCGAATAGGGGACATTCCCTAAACGATTCGTCATGTTAACAAAAAAGGAAAAAAGTTTATTAGAAAACGAATGAACGTGCCATTTGTGCTCCCATTACCCATTGCCCATTGCTTATTTGCCTCTTGATGGCATTGAGCGTATATAGAAGTATTTATTAATATTGTAGCTATTTGCATTTTTTCTGTCAATAGAAAACTAATTTCACATTTGTAGCGTTTGCGTTTAAGGGATTTTCTATTTAAAAATGATTCGTCAAAGGTAGGCAATTAAGCACTATATGTTTACCTAAATTTTATTTTTAAGTTGTTTCTAAAAATTATTTGCAGGAGTCTTATGATATTAACTTACTTGCCAATTGCATTTTGTGCTGCGCAAGTGTATTCTCCGCCATCCTCTTCTTTCACATTTGTTATATTTACGTGACTGATGACATCATCATGTATAGTAACGTATTGACCGACCAAAAAACGTGAATTGTCGGGTATCTGCAAAACAATGAAACAACAAAGAGCAATGCAAGGTTTTGAATAATGTTTTAAAAATATGTTCTATTAAGTATAAGCATAATATGAAATTTGTTTACTCTTCATCTGTATGCGTATGCTTAACAAATCATAAAATCTACCGGAAATCCGTCAAGAGTCCATGTGAATTGGGGCAATGGATTGCCAGTTGCTACACATTTCAAGGATACTGTTGGACCTGGTTGTAAGGTTTGCTCTGAAAACCAATATAACAATTCCGGTGAGGCATCTGAAAAATATATTTACAAACATACATCTATTAAACGAAAATCATGAAATTTTAATATTAGGACCTTCAGTTAATTTTGGCCATTTTTTCATTTGAAAAAGGCATTTGTTTAGAAAAATTGGTACAATACATTATGATTAAAATATTTTCCGTCATTTTCTACATTTTTTTACCAGCTTTCTGGCAAGACGTCGATATCCTGTCGAAAGAACTTTTACTGGTTTGGCAGCGGTTCAATCTTTGACCCATTTTCGCACCGATATGAACAAGTGGTAGTCAGAGGGCGCTATGTCTGGTGTGTATGCTGATTACGGCAAACCTTCAAATTCCAGCTGCAACAGTGTATACTTGACAAGTCCTTCAAGAATTGATTAAAAAGGGGCCTCTTCATTCAGTTCCTATTACCACTTTTTAAACCGTTAAAACCAAAAACGACAATTGGAATATGATGGAGCAGCACTACAATAAGTTTCTGAACCTGTTTGGTGGGCTTCGGCAGCAGATTTTTTCAAATTAAACAATAAAAGTAATAAAGGTCGAAAATGCATTCGGCGATTGGCGACGGCATACCTTAAATAAATCATTAATATTACACGGAAACTGTTATTTTATGCATAGAAAGGTCAAAATCGTCGAATTTATCAGTCATGTACACTGGCATTCCGCATTACTTTATCATTTTTACCAGTAGAAATCGTTGGTCAAAATGAACGGAAGTTTTTAAGAATTTATGATTGAGTTATTTTCTTATTGACTGTTCTCAAATTTTTTTTTTTTTTTTTTATCAACAAAAGATTCTGAATCGATTCACACTTTTCGATATCGTCACATTCTGCTATGCGATAGTTTCCTCGCTTGTTATCATTGTATTTACGCACAAGGCCTTGAAAAGAATCCACATTTTATTCCGAATTATTTTTCCGCTCAAATATATAGAAATAATTTTCTTTGAGAGAAATTGTTGAAAAGCCAAGAGTGCATTTCACTCTAATCGACGATTTGTTGCTAATGTCTCTCCAATCGAAACTTCAATTCACTTTGTTGGATATTTGTGTAACGACTACATAGATTATGAATAATTGCAGAAGTAAACAGACAAGAACGTTAGATGTTAGGTAAAGAACGCTAATTAAGTTAAGAAAACGTCATAGATTGTGTGTGGCGCGTTTTGAAACAATCAATTTTGACTGAATAATTTTGAAGTATAGAAAACGTAAAGAAACCAATTGAAACTGCTCGAACTGATGGAAAGAACGAGCAAGGCGTTTCTTTCATCAAATAAAGGTTAGTCTAATCCGTTTTCAGGCGCTCTACGTTAACAGTTTAGGTGTGAGATTTTGATACGCTGTAGAGTCCGCACTTTATAAATTCAGACTGCCAATTTGAGGTCATGTGAAGTAATGAAAATAAATCAATTGGCGAAGTGTTTGTAAAAATCATTCGGACGATTCATTTGCCCAAAGATCACGGAATTTGAAGAAAATCCTGACAATGATGCTTATGCAGATATTACAGAAGTTTATTGAATATTGAACTAAGTGAAATGCACTTCTTCTAAATACAAAATATATTATTATTGTATACGATCAGAATTCATGCGAACAGCTATTATTTGCTTGAAGCTAACGTAATTTTCTTTACGAATTTCTGCCCACAATCAAAAAGTTTCGTAGAATAACAAAAATCTAAATAATAAAGACATCCAAACGATTCGCGAGGATGCACCGAAACACACGAACAGTTGCAAAACACAAAACTGAAGCGGTGCTAATAAGCAGCCGAAAAAAAGTTGGGTGTATACCGGTGAGAGTCGGCAGCCTTGCTATTATGTCTCCCTGGTACTGCAATACTTAAGAGTTATGATCGACAATCGGCTAAATTTCAGACAGCGTATACAATATAGTGATAAGGCGACCAAAATGCAATCGCCTTTGGCAAGGATGGTGTAATAGACACTGTAGTGGGGAAAAAAAAAGAAAAGACAAACTTTGTCAACTTTGGCAAAGCGACAAGCGGCGCGAAGAAAAAAGAAACTTTGGCAACTTGGAAACAGAAAAGGAAAAAAAAAAAAAAAGAGAAAAAACGAGGAAAAATGCGGCTTTCGTGAGAATTTTGCTTGTAAAATTTTTTTGGAATAAAATCGAAATTCATGCCGTGCTATCGCTACTTCAAGACAAATAATTTCAGTGAATGATAATGAAAGTGAATTTATATGAATTAGAGAAAGAATAAATCCCGAATAGTTTTATTGGAAAAATATTAAAAAATTGCAAACTGAAAAGGCTTTGATAATTTTAGTAAAGCCGGAATAATTGGAACGCTATTCATTGTTCACATACAATAGCACAAGGTCACTAAGGTCAAGGAATTTTGAAGTTATACAAAAGTGCAAAAAGAAGAAGAACGAAAATCAAGAAGTACTAACGTTCGCGTCAGAGGGCTGGAATCAACGATCGCTAGTTTGTGGCCATTAAAAATTGAAGGATGAATGTGAAGTTCATTAATGCAAATGAGAAGGAGAAAACTTTTAAAAAAGAAAGGTGTAAATTGATTTAGCTAAATTGTTGGTCGGCTGCGGATGTTGTACGGGAGACCTTTAAATAAAAAGAGATTAATTGAAATTAATCTAATATAAGAGTTTTCTAAATTTTCTTTTTATAATAAAAAACCGACAAACAATGTCTTCGTATATTTTTAAGAACTGTGTCTTATAAAAAGAGAAGAAAATCTCAAAGCCCCCAAAAAAAAAGTAAGGAAAAAAGAAAAGAAAGGGGAAAAATTGACAAGCTAATGTAAAAGAAGGAGTGTAAAACACGAACGAATCAATAAAACGTTAAAGGAGCATTCCTCTTCACACCGGTTTGTGCGTGGTATCTCTAAGAGGTCGCAACAATAATTGGCATTTCTTTTGAGTTATAATTCCCAAATATTAAACAATTTTTTGTTTTAATTTTAAAACCTATAATTTGTTAACAAACCTTTTAGCTGCGGCGATGCGCATCTACGTGGTTATTAGTTTCGGTAAGTTTATTTATATAATCGATTAATAACCATTGTTCATTTCGAAAATTTTGTTTTGAAATATTGAGTTGAAACATTATAACACTTTCGTTAGAAAATAAAATCAAAGAAATGTATTATTATTAAAGGTTAAATCACTGGTAAGACTTCCTGTGGATGACGGAGGGGCGAGGTAAAAGTAATATGGTTAGGGCGTGGATTAAATTAGTCAAAAGTTTTCAATTTTATTAGTAAGCATGTTTTATTTAAAATAATGAAATATTGTAGCGATTTACGTATCTTAATACATTTTATCTCCACACCCCCATCGGACGAGCCAGGCCGGAAAACATGCGAACAAAAAAAAAGGTAAAAATAACCCATAACATCCCTGCATAGGTTGAATTCTCGAAACGTTACAATGGTGTCAAACAATAAAGGACCTAGAGCTACCGTGAGGCAAGTGATATCCATGGTACTCACATCGGTTTTGTTGTAAGCGAATCTGGTGTGGTTCGATGCACTGTCGGCGAAATCAAATACTGTCGGACGGTGTGTCATCTCCGCACCATTTCGGAAGACACAGCGCTGTTGATTACTTTTGGGGTCCCTGTTGAAATCCTGGCGATGAGTTGAAGCGGATATTCGTAAGGAAGCATATAGGGAAGGTGCAAGGACTCGTCCTCAAGACGGACGAAAGCTTGACCTCAGTGAATATGTGGCAAGCGCAATGGGAAAGTACGCCGAAATGGAGGTGCTTGCTCATCCCAAACGTAGCTCTGTGGATGGGCAAATGCCAGAGGGAGGTAAATTACTATCTCACACAGTTTCTCGCCGCTCAAGATCACTTTCGAAACTACATTCACAGATGTGGTCACGAAAATTTGTCACCATGCCCGGATTGCGGCCGCCATAGATTGCGAAGATTTCTGCTTCAAGCTCGTGTAGCCAAAAAAACGCCAACATTTGCAACGGCATAATTAGGACCGGTTGCAACCCATTTTTAATACAAAATCAATGAAAGATATACTCTTCCAACCAAAGCAGTCATTAAATAGGTAATGTCACTAGTACGTGCTATTTTCAGGAAGTATAATTTGGTTTACAGTACATCCTTCATCCATGTAACAAGTTTTTTATCACGTATCTGACACTTACGAATGCCATGAGGACATGAGTATGCCTTCATTTTTTGGTGACACAAAACAAAAAAAAATATGATACGTTTTTTACAGAAACTTGCTTTTGATGAATTTGATCTTAATTTTAATCTATTAACATGTACGCTCATGCATACATGAGCTTTTTAGGTGTGTGTTGCTTAATATGACATTTTCTGAAGAAAACCTAACAGCGCAGAATTGATTTACGATGAAATGAAATTATATGTTTGTATATGTATTCTAGTTAACTTTCACTTCCTCTGCAGTTTGTGTAAATGTATAGTGATCTCTCCTTTTTCTCTTTTGTAAAAAGCTTACTGTGGTAATCATTAAGTAGATTGAATTTTGCGTTTACCCTAAAATTAGGAACAAATTACGCGAATATTTTTATATGTGTTTGTGCATACACATTTGTTTGCGCGGATAAATTTGCCTGATAACAATTAATATTAAATTTTGCTTATAGCAGTTTTTTTAGTAGTTTACCATTTCTGTTGTATTATTGAAAATTCATTAGAAATATTGTTGTTGTTATATTGTTGTGGATATTCAGAATTTGCTTTTTCAATTGAATTATTTAAAATCCTAGTTAAGAATATCAATAATATAAATTTGTTACTAACGTAAGAAAAAATCTTGTTGCTTTGTGCAATGTGTTGCTTGCGTTTTATTTATAGTGATTTAGAAAGAAATTTCGATCGCCGAACAGATCGTTCTCAATAAATCAAAAACAAAAAAACGCTGGAAAGTAGAGACAAGGTCTTTTTAAAGATCAGTTCAAATTTCATGCTGATAAGCAGACAAAAGCCATTTAAAACACTTTAGATTTGGTTAGCATATCTCTCTCTCTCTCATAATTGCAGCAAGTAACCTTAGCTTAGCTTAGATTAGGTACTGTGAGGAGCCAAAGTCGTCCCTCATTTTGACCTTACAGGTTCTTTGCCTCTGAGACGTGAGTGTTAGGCTAAGTTAGATTAAGAATAGGATTAAGTAAAGTACTAGACGGAGGACGGAAGATAAGGGAACCTGAGTCAGAAACAGACGTTTCTAATTGGGATATGGTAAGGATGCCAAAAGGCAACCTTGACGGGAGTCACAAAACATGCATTATTATATAATAATAACGAGAGTACGCTCTGAACTGGCAAAGTGTTTTTATAATTTATAGAACCTCGATGTAAATTTATAATTATAAGGTCAATGACGTAAAATAAGCAGAACGAGCGCGAATTTTATATGGAATGCCATAAGCGTGTAAGTTTAATCAATTTGCGGTTCTTGAAATGCTTTCGTATTGTAAAAGGATTTAACATTTGTTGATGACTTGTAAGCGAAGTAAGAGAATGAATAAGCAAAGTGACGACTTCCGAAAAGTCAAATTATTCTTTAAACATTCAAAGAATAAGTACAATTCTTGTGAGTCAGAGCCGCTGAGCATACTCCAGCACCAGGAGTGGACAAAAGCCCTGATAGTACATATTTTAAGTTCCCAGCAAAATAATGCTGCTAAGAAAGAATACTTCGAAAAATCGCTTCTTTTAACTATGAGTTTATTCCACTTATTAGTGTTTTGTTGGATCCAATTTAGCAACAATTTTCATACCCACCACTTAACGGTGGGGATATACTCATTTTGTTTTCTTTTTCATATTGTGTAACACTTAAAAGGATGCTTCAGAGATCCTATCAAGTATATATATTCTTGAGGCTCATCAATTTGGTAGAATCATTGGAGATTTTTTCACGCAGGTTGACATTAAAAATGGGCCAAATTGGTCAGACCAGAAGCACGTAGTGGAGCGTAAACTGAGCGTAACTCCAATTTTTTTGAACAAATGATAAAATTATCTTTTTTCATTTTTTGAGGTTTTATGCCTGTTTATTATAAGGCAAAGAAGACAGATCTTTTAAAACTATTCTGTACATCCCTCAAATGAAGCTGTGTTATCTGCCTAAAAATGAGTTAATTCTAAAATGAGTACGGTAGCCATCGCGACCTGGTGATTTAATTTTTTCTTAGTAATGCCTGCCATGTGGGTATCAAATAAAAGCACTTGGAGAGGAGAAAAAGGAAAATAAAGTGGCGGGTATGCGAGATTCGGCCCCCGCTGAATATAAATTTCTTCCTTGCTTTCTTTCAAATTATTTATTTAAAAAAATGAAATTGCCGAGCTCAGCATAATTTATTGTTACGTTGTTTGGCAATAACTTTTCAAGCGGCTTAAATTATGGCTTACCACCCAATTGCAGTTCGGCTGTAGATTGTATTTGTTCCCATTCATTTGATACGAAGCACTGATACATGCCAGGGTCATCTTTTTGTACTTTTTTAATAATCAGTCTTGGTGGATCGGTGAGAATCTAAAGAAAGGAAAAGTTTTATTTTTATTATTTTATTTTTTTTCAATTTTTCCGGAGCATTCTCTTTATTAAATAGATTTAGGCATGCTTGCACATAATTCCAGTTGCATGTGCATATGCTATTATATGCAAAGAACAAGGCTCACCTCGATACGGTTATCACGTAATATTGGTTTACCATCATGCAACCAATTGACATCTTGCACTGGGTGCCCGGACACAACGCACTGAAACTGCGCATCCTTATCAACATCTACAGTTTGCACTTGAGGCTGAAGATGTGCTGTTAAAGGAGCTGCAATATTGAAGAACAAAATTTATTTTTATATCTCATTTTTACGCCCGCCATCGAAGAAAGGGGGCACAACAGTTTTGTTAATTCTTTTGTAACGAACGAATTTAAGTATTGGAAGCATTGTAAAGTGTCGTACATTTTATTGATGATTGTAAAATTCAGAGTCGACTCACTTATAACTGCTTGTCTGTCCATCTTATTGTTATTGCAGGTCTCAAAACCGCGAAAATTGAGAAAAATATATATAATAAAACAATACTCTACTGTTTAGCGAAAGAAAACTTGTCAAACGACAGCAGCAGTTGCTTCCAAAATGTTAAATAATGTTGTAACAACGATGTAGTTAAAGTGACATAAATAGTAAAACAATCAAGTTAAGGTAATATGTGGCGTTTTCGTCTTTTGCTTAGCCTTTGGAGCCTTCCTTTAACGACGGAAAAGTGGATTGCAGGTTTGGTGAGACGCGTACATGTTACCGTGCTTTTTACAGTTCAGTATATGTGTGCGTCGACGTAAAATATTGTAGTGGTACTGCGTGCAAATAACTACATATGTATTTCTATGTTCTTGCATTCACGTTTGTGTGTGCGCGGGTCACTGTGTTTGTAGTGTGCATTTTCTAAGTTATTCGCTCTTACATACCTGTAACAGTTAATGATACTTGTATAGTCTCTTCACCGGCAGTGTTATTCACCCAACATAGATATTTACCACTGTCCTCGAGACGTGCCTGAAAACACATCATAAGAAAAAAAGTTTGGTTTAGGATATATTTCTAACAGGTTGAACTTGAAAAAACAACAAATAAGAAACAAAAAAAAACTACTTTGTTAAATTCGTAGAAACCTTTGTAATTTTCAGCAAACCGGCCGATACTATCGTGATGCGTTCACTTAATTGTAGTGGTAGTAGTTGCTCGTTTTCTTCTTTAAACCAACTATAATGAAAACAAGAAATAGGCTTGTTAATTAGATGCCTACGTATGTCTATAAACATTTTTAATATTATCTGACACTGTATGAAGGATAGAAATGATTCTAACAGAGATCTTTTGTAACTTTTTGTCTTTTAAATCGTCATTTATCAAATTTTCTTCTTAATACCATAAGTTTTTCTTCGGTTGCTTAACTATGTTGCCGTAATCGTGTTTCAGAATTAAACACTGTCTTAAATTTTTACAAAAAAGTAAGTGATCAGCAAAGCAGTATACCCCATTGTCATCGATAAATAAATTTTGATAACTGATTTTTAATGAATGCGTTATTTTTTTTGCTTTCTAACAAAACTATTTAGTTATTTTGAGACGAATTATCACATGCCCTGTGTTTTGATTTTGATGATAAGTCCTGTTCAGCGTAAAGTTTGGCTTCTTGAACAAGGGAGATTTTAAATAAACCAAATGAACCACAAACCTATCGGAGAGAATTCAACGTAAACAGCCACTTTGCTACCTTCACGCTCGTTCGGCTTATTATGATTGCAAAGATGGATTCAAACGTTTTCACAATTGTCGTAAATTGGCACCGGTGCGGTTGTCATCACCAAAGTTTGATAAGGAAATTATAACAAATTTCAAATATTCCGAAGTGCCTATTACTGCGTTATTTGGTAGTGACCTAGGGCAAGTTAAAATTACAAAACAAACAAACTAGAAGAGCAATAGGATACAATTCTCAAAATGATACAATCAATTCTAAGACTTTTGCATTTCTTACAGTTGAAGTAGCAGGTCCTCATATGTGTGCCATCACATTATTTTTAACCAAATGAGCAACAAATTGTATAGAGCTTGGATTAAAGGTTGTAATATTTTTACAACTTATTTGTTGGCCATGTTTTCGTTATATGAAAGGGTCTTCAAAAATTGCCACAGCTGGTCCAGAATTTTTATACCAATTTATATCAATTTAGAATGCCGTAATAGTACTACTTAGCCATTTTTGATGAAAAATTTTTTAAATTACAATTTTTTTCCATATAACAACTTTTCAGATTAGAGCGTTATGTCGGGAGTGGTCGAAAAAATGGACCGATCTGAACTACCTTCAATAGCGTTCGCCTTTGGGTCGAAACACGTCACTTTACTACATTTAATCAAAATATCTCAAAAATTGCGACCTGTAGCTTTAACACAAATTTACATGGGCAGACGTCAGATGGACAGGTTTAGATCAATTGAGATCATGATTCGATCGGTATAATAAGAGGTAGGTCCATCTTAGGCACTTTTGCGTGTCTCATATGACCGCATTAACTTAGTATACCCTGTACTACAAGTGGCGTAGGGTATAACAACAAAAGGAAGGAGAAGAAGCTTGGCATCTCTAGGTGTGGAAGTCGGTTTGAAATTTTTGTGGAAAGCAAAGAACATTTTTTTTACTGAATAATCGAGAAATTGAAAAATTTTTCTGGAACATTTTTTTTTTATTTTGGAAGGAAAACAAGAGAATTATAAATTTTACGAATTGAAACCTGAAAGAAAGTTGATGGCTAGTGAAAAAGCATGAAGGTTTTGTGCGTGCAATCTCGATATAACGTATAAATGCATACAAAAAGAATTAAGTTCAACAGAACTTGTAAACAAAGAATCAGATGGATCTTGAATACTTGCATGTGCGATATAAAAACATATATTTGTATAGGTACGACTTAAACATAGGTACGAGGAAACATAAGCCATCAAGGGAGTTATTTCGCTTTTTTTCAAAGAGGACATAATTGCAATTTTCTCATAGCCAAATTCACACTTAGGCCACATTGACACTACGTATTTTGGCAGCTGAAACACCTAGTCTTGTGTATAAAAAGGCTTATTCGATTTCAAGCAACACTTATTCCTGAGTGCTTTGCCAATAATGAAAATTGAAAGAAATATTTTCAGTATATTTCACTTTTTTTACAAGCGAAATGATAAAAATGCTTTTCAAACAAGTAAAATATTTATAGGATATGTCTAGGAAAGGACGTGTTGCTAGATATTGAATTTCTTGAATTCAAACGTTCATCATTAATGCTTCTTGTTGACCAAAAAAAAAAAGAAAAAACTATAATACACCCATTAAAAATATTCTTTCTTTTTGTTAATTTCCCTAACTGAGTGATATATAAAATTAGTCTTAAATGTGATTATGTTATGTTTATTTGTTAATTGAAAAAAGTTGATATTGTTGTAAGCGATTAGAGACATGGGGTGTATGCTGTGCTAGTTCCGGAAAATATTTCTTCGGTCGAGTGAAGATAGTTTCTTTAACCTGATAAATTTTCCATTTCGTGTTGCTATTTTTTTTGTTTTACGTTTTTATTTTTGCTTTGAACTGTGAAAGAGCAATGAAAAGCCATGAATCTCGGGTTGAGAACCCATCATTTCAATAACCCTGTTCAGCCGTAGCAATATTAACACCTAAGTTTTCATGAACGTTTGCAACAAATCGCACAATTGCGTGCGTAACATGTGAAACTCAAAATCACAAAACCAAAACATTTTCTCAATAAATTAAGTTAAAATTTAAAATTTAACAAAAAATACATCAGTTCTATTAATTTCTTCCTACTTTTTATCTCAATTTGTCTGAAATTAAGTTCAGCGGGTCACATAGCCATTTTGTATCCCTCAAAAAATGACTACTATAAGGACAGCTAGGCTCAGTCTATGCTGCAATTCGTTGTTGAATGAGAAAAACGTAGTTTATTGCCTTTAAAATAGTTAAGATTCTGTTCAAGAAATCAAATTCAAAAGCGTGTTAGCGAACGCATTACTCATTCTGTTAATAGCGTTTTTGTATATCAAATATTGATTAAGATCTTGTTTATTGGTTCGTGAGAGATGCTTGTAGTTTTGACTAAGTCATTGTTAGTTAACTGACGCTCCTCCATTATCATGTCTTATATTTTATAAGGATTTCCTCCTTCCTGCATCAACACTTTTTCACGATATTCACGATATCCACGATATCCGTTATATAATATATTTACTTGGCCATATTAAAATTAAACTATCGAATTTTTGATTGTAACTAAAAAAATTTTTCTCTAATACTTTCCTTAGGTCTTTATGAGTTTTTTTTCGCAGATAATGCTTAATGTTTTGCCAGTTTCCCCATTTTTAAAAAACATAAAGTTGACCTGGTTACTTTCATTTGTTTTTTCTGAGTAAAACTATTTAACAAGTTAGTATGGAACTTTTCAGTTTGACACAAGTAATAAATACTAGTACTTTGTTCTATTAATGCGTCAAGCTAGAAATATTTTGACACTTTAATTACGCTAATGAAAGAAATTTATTGAAGAAGAACTAATTTTAAATAACCTAAAATTAATTAAGAAGAATTAATCTTCTATAATAAAAGAGAACTGAGAGAGTTTTGGAAATACACGTGTGTATAACTTTTATAAGTTTTCTGCGTTTGAATTTTGATTTTTGCCTTGAATGTTTGATCTGTTATATTTTTTTATCACAATGTGAATCGATATCTGCATTGTTGAAGATAATGCAGGCGAAATTATTGACAGCAACGTTTTCAAATTTTCACTGATTGGCATGCATCCATTTTCGAATACGTTGCAATTTTTATCTTTCTACAAGATATTTTTCAACTTCAAAGTTCCCTTAGAGCATAACAGGCGAACTTGTCTGAATCGACCTTACATCGCATGTTGATCAAGTTTATTTGTGAAAGAGTGAGTGTACTTCTAGCTGATATAAACAATATTAATACATTCATGTAATTTTTACGTTTAGATTAGATAACTACTTTCATGGCTACGTTTAGTTAACACCGCATAAGAATCACTTTCTTTTCTTTTCAATGTTCACGTTGCGGCATTGAAAAGATTTGCGTTTCCACTTTTAATTCGTAATACCTGATGTTAACAGTAAAGTATTGTAACGTAAACCGTCTTTCGCGGTTTTATGTTATTTATTCAACTCCTTTTGAAATTAAGTTCATATAACAACTTTTAGAATAATATAGGTTTTATTTAGAAAATTACGAGATCTATTTACAAATTATTTACAGGAACTTATATCTACTACACTTTCTGTCTCGTTCTGGCATTGTCTGTTCAAATATTACAATTCATCTCACTTGCCTCGACCCTCGCGACTCACTTTTCGACTCGCTTACTCGCTATGGCTCCGCATATATTCTGCTTATACACTCTTTTACGTAAGTTAATCGCGACATTTCTCTTTTTGCGCTAGATTTTAGTCAATCGTTATTAATCTTTATGTCAGCCGTCAAATACATGATGCAGGTAACACGCGATGAGTGTATATTTGGTTTTCCATTTCTTTAAAATTTACTTTCTTAGAAAATCGACTAATTTTCATGAAAATTCGAATCATCAAAGATAGCATTTTCGTAACAGTATGAATAAGATATTTCTCATCAATCCCAGATTCTCATACACACAACTTTCCAGATTTTTCTTAGGAGGACAACTTAAAATAGCATAAATACCTATAAGTAAGTTTTGGCATTTATAACGTAACAGGTATAGTATATCATTCAAATCGAAAGCAATGTAACGTTACATTGAGTTATTCAATTTCACAAATATTCTAATGTAAAAAAAGGATAAATTTTCAGAAAAGATTTTCTAGTATGTGAACGGGCAATGAGTGATATGTTAAGAAATCTCTTTGTCATGTTTTTTTTGGGTTATTGTGGTTGTTTTATACATTATACATATTTGACTGAATTGAACGTGTCGTTGCTGGCACCGTTGGCCAGTGAAAGTTTCATCAAATTTGACAGTTCGTTAAATCCATCAAATGTAAAGCGTGGTTTTGCCATTATGAATACTCGGCTTTACTATTGGTATTAACGATTTCATCTGATGGGCGTTTTGTAATTGGACTATTTTTACTTTTGACTTTTCTTCAAACTAAACAACGTAACGTTTCGGTCAGATAGCAATTTCTCGCTATATAATTCA